AAAAAAAAAAAAAAAAAATTGTAAAGCGTTCTTGGATACAAATATATCCACTCAAAATGAAGTTTTTTTAGTTAATCATGATAAGTTATGAAAAATGTATTATAATTAGTTGTTAGTAGAGTTTTGAGTTTATATTAAATACATATTTAAAATGACATAATTGGAATTGATTTGATAAGTAGGAGATAGATGATGTGAGTGGTGTTTTTTTTTTTTTTTTGGAAAAACATAGAAGGGTAAGTGGTTAAGGCGGGACCCCCAACCTGTATATAATCATGCCCAAAAAAGGCAGGAGAATCACACGTCTATAAGTGCGTACATAAGGCAAAACTACTAAAGCCACGCGAAAGAGAAGAGGAGAAAGAAAGAAAAAAGTAAGGAACATCCAAAGTGAAATGGTCTGATAACTGAGCTAACAGGTGCCCAGACAAACAGTCTGCGCCATGAGTGGGCTAAAAAAAAGAAACCAAAAATACTACCCAATTCTGAAAGATGGATAACCACGCACCATGTAAATCCATCCATGAGGTATAATGACCGAGATGCGCATCAGGGTCTGAGGTCCCATCGTACAAGTCGATTTGTGGAACTTTAATTTTTCCTGGTAGTGGTTCCGATGTAAGCTCGGGGTGCCAGGGGGAGTCTGCTTCTACATAGACATAGGCCGACGTAGAAGCTCTGCGAGGAGAGTCCTCTTGTGCTTTCTGTCAAGTTTCCAACTCAGCAATCTTCTTTCGTAGGGCTTATAACTCGGTGGAGTCTTGTCGAGCGGAACCATTTCTCTCTATTTTTTTTTAACGCAAGTCAACTTGTGCCGGAGAAGGTTGCGCCGGTGGCCATTCAACTGGTGGGGTTCCCTGATGATGTCTCGACTGACTTTCTGTCGTCATTTCTAGAAGGGTCGCCGCCTGCAAGGTGGTAGCTTGAGGTTGAGTTACGATCTTTTCCTTTTGTGGCCGCGGTGAGTTATTTCTTGGCTGTGAGGACGTATGTGAAGTTGCTTTCTCGCCGTCACGTCTTCCCACCGGCGGGGTTCACGGCTTCGCTAGAGTCACCGGAGCGACAAATTGCCCAGGAGCCAGTAAGGATGTTCCTGGCACAGTTTGAGCCATCAAAGTTGAGAACCCTTTGACAAATTCCAGATTTTGGAACAGTATTGCAAAATCTGGCATCACTAGTGTCATTGTTGTTCGTCCGACGGATGGAGCAACGCCACGACTATGGTCGTTTCGCGCCGCTTGTTCATGTTGTTCAGATTGAGACATGGTGATTACGAAAATTTTGTAGTGGAAAGCAGTCAGGCTGTATGTGACTGGAATGTGAAAGATCGAAGATTAACCTAAAATTACTTATGGGGCCCTTCCACTAGTGTCAAACTGATGTTATGCGATTTGTAACAACGTAACTAAAACATATTCAGGATGAAAAACATAAGAAATTTGTATTAAAAGTGTGATTGTTGAGATACAGGACGTCGGTTTTTAGTGTACACCGAGTTGTTTCAGGATGTATTTCTATGGAATGTCCAGAATTTGATCCATGTACAAGAAACAATTCTAGCTATTTATAGCAACTTTTGTTGGCTCATATTTTGATACGTGCACGGCCGCATTTAATGTAAAGTGCCTTTATGAGGAGGTTTGTAACAGATTGGCTGACGAGAAGATGACGAAATGTGTGGTGCGTAATTACGTCGTGTAGGTGTCTGGTCACCTGTTCTGAACTCGGTTTGGTTAGCTTTGTCGCCATGGCGGTTTGGAGGAGAGATACTCGGTCTCTGGGAGAGGTCGATTGTCTTCTCGTTCGTAAAGTCGGTTATCTGTCTGGTTCGAGCAGAGTTGTCATAAGTTCATCATTAACATGGATCTAATACCCTTAAATACGGTATTTTGTTATTTAAACGTTACATGACCAGGTCGGTTGTCAACAATATTGAAACTTAGAAAATCACTTGTAAGTTATACGTACATGAAAGTTTTGAAAAGTATATGGTAACAAATTTTTTTTAAATAAAAAATAAATCTCTATTAATTTTTTAAAATTTCTAGATAATTAGATGGTGCTTGGACACCAAACATCCAATCACTTTTAAACAATCACTTTTTAGTTAATTCAATATCTAACTCAAATTTAACTAAATTCAATCCTTTATTATCAATATAATCCTCCCTATATATAATTCTCGAATGCGCTGAGCCTACGTGGCTGCTTCTGGTACTTCGGAATCCTATTTGGGGAAGAATCATGCTTCGTAATTAGGTTTGGAGAAATAATATTAATATATTAATAATTAGTAATCTAGGTTCGGGTATTCCATAAATATTATTTAGCTAACTTAGGTATTTTAATATCACTTTTACTAATATAACCTTTTAATTCTTTGTAATTTTACATAGTGAGGTACTAAGTGACTAATATATCCCTAAATTTTGATTTGTTTCCTTCAATAAGCTATTGAAATATAAATGTATTTTAAAAGTAGGTAACTTTTGTATTTCTTATCGGTTTTACATATATAATATATCTAATTAATCATCTTTTGATGATCTTCGATTTGACATCCATATTGTATATATAATATATATAAATTATATTTATCTTTATAATAATAAAAAATAATAATATTTATTAAAATTCATCAGAAAAATAAAATTATTTCTCAATTGATATATTTATATTTAATGTAGTTATATATTGTAAGTTAAAAAATTAGTATAATATAACACACGTAAGTCGCACAAATAAAAAGTATCATAATAAATATATAATAATATATATTCTTATAAAAGGTACTTAAATTTTCAAACTACTTTTTCTCATTAATTTTAAATTTTAAGAAGAAAATTAGCAATTACCCGTGTAATACACGGGTGTTGTACTAGTTAA